TTATAGTTTCAAGTTTAAAAGTTAAGGACACTTGGTCCTTAACTTAGAGTTACAAGTTAAAAAAGTAAGAACAGGTAGTCCTTAACTTATAATTTCAAGTTGAAAAGTTAAGGACACTTCGTCCTGAACTTCAACTTTCAAGTTCCAAAGTTAAGGACATTTGGTCCTTAACTTTAAGTTTCAAGTTAAAAAGTTAAGGACACTTGGTCCTAAACCTCAACTTTCAAGTTCCAAAGTTAAGGACACTTGGTCCTTAACTTCAAGTTTCAAGTTAAAGTTAAGGACACTCTGTCATTAACTTTGAGTTCCAAGTTCAAAAGTTAATGTCGTTTGGTCCTTATCTTTTATGAACATAGTTAACTAAAAATTCATAAACACAGTTAGCTTATGAATTTTTACGACTATTTTTATGAAATGTCCTTACATAATCAAATATATTGATTGAACCACAAACACATTTCACATTTCAATACCAAAAAAGTTCTGAATAACAGCATCACAAAAATACGCTACTTCTTTGACACTGAATCAACTTATAACGATCATTTTTGAAATTTCACACATACTTGACACAACATTGATCGCGATTACACATATACAAAAACAAAAATGCATAAAAGAAAAAAAACTACCAGTTCGATCGTTCGATGCAGAGAAGATGACAGAGAAGATGAAGAAGGAGAAAGATTAACTGCATCTCGTTTGCATGCGAGGATGATACAGAAGGTGAGAACACACGAAACTTGCCCTGAAATATTCACTCTCAAATTTTCCCTCTTCTGAATGAATAAAACAAGGGTTTGGGAATATAAAAATTGAAGAAAGGGTAAAACTGTCTTTTTCCTATTAGTAGTGACTATTTTTGCTGAACATTATAATTAGTGGATAAAAATTAAAGACCCCCTTAATTAGTGGCTACTACACGCCATTTTTACTTACTATGCAAATCATATAAGCACGCAAGAGAGGAGCAAAATACAAAAAGGAAAAGGTCCAAAATTGCTCCTCTACTATGGTATGCTAGTCAACTTGTTGTACTTCCCGCGGTCATAAAAAATAAAGTATGAATGAAAATTTATTGTTTTTAAGTAATTTTTTTATCTAACTAAATTATTTCTCGCTTTCTCTAATTTTACACATGAAAGGGCTAAATCTTCTTTTCTTGATAAGAATAAAATTGGATAATATATTAGGATAATGGCTTGAATGAACATTTACTATTGACCTCGGTACCTCCTTGTGCTATTCAGGATATTTTGATGATATCCTACATCATGTCACAAAATTATACCATTACTATCTGTCTATTAAACAACTCAATTTTGAAAACAAAAGATCTATACAAATATATTATATATACTGAAATTTTAAATTCAATAGAACAAATAGTTCTTCCATCTGTTATAGTAAAAACTTTATTATATAATTTCAAGAGTAATAAATAATTCAACGCACGTTTTTATTTTATTTTTTATGTTTCTATAATATCTTTACATTATCCTTCAATTTCATTCTTTTTATTTACTTTTGTATTTGGAGTATTGTTAAGTTTCCAAAATAAGGTATTAAAAGAAAAGTGAGAGGGAATATAATCACTTCTACAATATTTAATTAAAGTTCAACACAAAGTTCAGTTATCTTTGTATTTCTATAGTTTCATAATTTTGTGATATTATATTAATTTCAAGATGCAAAATATGACCAATACAAAACAACCAAGACAAAACACACATAAATATATCATTTCTTGAAAATGAAAGGCAAAATGAAAGATTACTTACAAAAAAAGGACAAAACGAAAGACAATGGAGAAGAAACAGAAAGAGGAGGAGAAGTCATTAATTCTCACGCCACTCTAATTAGACCATTTTATTTTTTTTAATCTTTAATCAGGCTTATTCATTCTAGGAAAATTTAAAAAAATAACAATATTACACGGGAAGAACAGAAATAATGCCAAGCACATTATGGAAGAACAAAAGATTTATTTGATTCTAACATACTCAGATTTTGCAGGAAAAAAAATGTACAACACATTCTCAGTTATAAACAAAAATATTCTCATAGTTGACCCACCATGAGGAACCCACTGTCCCGATCACATATACCTTCATTCAAATTATAGACTGAAATTAAGAAATCAAGTACGTAAGACAACTGTAAATCCAAATGGCATATATAGATGTAATTTGTAAGTTATAAATACTCGAATCGTGCTAAACTGTTCCACAAATTTAACAAAAATGATTTTATAAAATACACGATCACAGACTGTGAGCCCAATTTTTTGAGAAGAAAGCAAGAGAATGTAATAAATACCTATGGATTATCGATTGCTTTGTCAGTACTATACCATACTCTGAAATAGTCCTGCAATAACATCCTTAAAAATTAAAATCCTCATATCAGACATACAGATAATTTTCAACCAGTTATCATGAAAAAGAGAAATCAGTTTCTTTTACACAAAAAGTTAAACATATATTTTTTTTTAATACAATCCCCCTTTCATTGTATGTATAGGTATTGCTCTCAAAAGAATGTTGCCAAATGAGCCGAATTTAAGCTTTCAAGGATGGTAGAAGCAGCAAAAATAGTCCAATACTAAAGTAAGAATAACGGGAGTTGGTCAAGAGGATGCATAGGCTATCAAGGTTGCTTTGGAAAACTAAAAATCACCTTGTCACTCTTCTTTTTTTCCAGAGTGCTGTTGGTGCTCTTTCTTGTTTGTATACCTTTAAATACCATAAAATCTCTCGTCAAACATTCCAATCTTTTCCGTTTCCTATTTAAAAATAATCACTTCAGATTATAGAAGAAAAAGGTAATAGTGCACGAAATGATATTTTAAAAATGTCAATTTTGTTTCAATTCACAAAATCATTTTGGCATAAGCACACACCTGAATATAATCCTCAAAAAAATCAAAAAAGATGAAGCCTCCAACCATTTGATTGACAAAATGTATGCCGCAATATCTGAAATTCACAACTGATATATCTAATCTTTATTACTGTACAAAGATATACTTACTGAGCAAAAAACTATTTTCTCATCAAACTTTAGACCAAAAGCACCTTCTGCGTACTACAAATTTATTCCAAAGATAAAGAAAAACATCTTAATGCTCATCTTAAGTACCACGAAATTTCAGATTTGGCATCAAGCAAAAGTTTCCTTCAAGAAGAAGTTTTTACGACTAATAGTAATGCCATCTGAGTTGTGCAAATGCTTGAGTATACATTGTGCAAGGTTTATCATTACCAATCAAGTTACTGATACCTTCATAGAAAAAATAAACCAGGTACAGTTACCTTTTCCTTAATTCATATTCTCTCTAGATATTATATCCTCCTTCACCCATGTTTTTTTATTTGCATTATACGTTATATAGTTAGATTTAAACACTTATCAACTAATATAACATTTTCATTGTAAAATTACTCAATATTGTGGCATGAAGAGTAAGCAAGTCATTAAGCTCAAAAGTATACCTCAACTGTATTAATTTCTAGCAAGGACGCCACTTGTTTGGCTAAAGCAAGTAACGGAGCTGTTAAACATGTACCTCCAATGGATCTGACTGTTCGTCTATACCTTTTTGACTCAATTCATTTTGAACGGCATAGTCTCCACTCTGTTCTGTGTGACCAACATTTGTTTAGTTCAATATCCTATTAAAAGAAGAATACATCATCAGATGCCCAAGGCAATCACTTTGGTAAAAAAAGGAAATGAACTCCTAATAAGGAAAACAGTCTGATGCGTATTCGAGTGTTCTGAAAAAACAGTTCAACATCAAAAGGAATTTGGTACTCAAGAATTGATATGACCCGGATTTCCCACCATCGGGAGTCGTGATGGCGTCTACTCGTGAAAGCTAGGCAAGCCTTGTATTTAGATTCACTAACTCTTTTATTTAGTCCTTTTTAACAATTTAAGTCAACATGCGATCAACAGTGAAATATTAGCAATAATTAAAGGCATGCGGAAGACGTAATTCTGATAACTTAGCCAAAAACAAGTACGACAATACCAAGTACATCTCTATCCGAAACCGGTATCACAATATCACGGACCTTCTACGAATACTACATACAAATGTCTGGAAAGAAAGGTACAATCTGTCTCTAAAGTAAATGAAAACAGAATATAAAGATAGAAGAGAACATCGGGCCTGCGGACGCCTGCAGGACTACCTCGGGATCTCTGACTGGACTGAAGGCAGCCACCCAAAGCTATGGTCCAAAAGCTGCTGCTCTGGGATCTGCACACAGTGTAGAGTGTAGTATCAGCACAACCGACTTCATGTGCTGGTAAGTGCAGCCTAACCCCGGCGAAGCAGTGACGAGGCTAGGACCAGACTACCAAATAAACCTGTACAGTTATATAATATGTAGCGGAAAAATAAAATAGAAATAAATAAGTAAAGATGGGAGGGGGAACATGCTGCGGGGGAATATCATTACCAACAGTAATTTAAGAGAAAGACATAAGGACAATTTAGAATTTACGGCAAAACAATAAGGAACTCGTAACCAATCTATAAACATTTTGTATTATATATTGTTGCGGCGCGCAACCCAATAGCAAAACATAATAACACTGTTGCGGCGTGCAACCCGATCCATATCATTTATCCCTGTTGCGGCGTGCAACCCGATCCAATTATATTATTGTTGCGGCGTGCAACCCGATCCAATTATATCATTGTTGCGGCGTGCAACCCGATCCACACATATACAATTCAACACCAAATCACAAAGAGAGTCCCGACAAGGGATCAATAAAGAAATAACACTATTCCGGCAAGGGAATCGATAGTAAAAATAAAAACGTCCCGGCAAGGGAAAAACCAGCTATAACCAGACTTATTTCGACATCTAACTTCCTCAACTAGCACCAATATTCGATCATAAGTAATTTCCACGAGAATAATCATAATCCGTGCTCAACACAGAGAATCAACAACTTAGACATTCGTAGCATTTATTAAGAACACAACAATTTCACTTTAAGACTCACGGTCATGCTTGACACCAACGTATAGATACTCGTTACCATGCCTATACGTGGTACTCAACAAGTAACACGTAGCAAATATGACACAACTCCTAATCCCTCTAGCTAAGGTTAGACCAAACACTTACCTCGAACTTCCACGACTAACTCAAGCCTCAAACACCGCTTTTCCTTTTGAATTTGGCTCCAAATCAATTGTATCTAGATATAGTCGACATAATAACATCAATAAACGCTAAACAATCCAATTCCAATGCTTAATTATAGATTTCCTATCATTCTTCCCAAAAAGTCAAAAATCGACCTCAGGCCCGCATAGTCAAAATACGAGGTTCAGACCTAAACCCAATCACCCATTCACCCACGAGCCCGAATATGTAATTAGTTCCAAAATCTGACCCCAAAACGAGGTCTAAATCCCAATTATGCAAAAAGCCCTAACTCTACCCAAATCCCTAATTTTCTACCCTTAAGAACATGATTTTAGGCCTAAAAATCTAATGGCTGTTAATGGAAATTGAAGAAAATGAGTCTACGATTACCTACCTATGGATTTGTGGTGAAGTTCTCTTTCAAAAATCGCCCAATTTGGAGTTTGGAAGAAGAAGTTATGAAATTTTGGTGAAATCCCGTATGTTCTGTTACTGTTTAAAAATCACTGGGTAGGTCTTCATCGCGTTCGCGATAGGCCTGTCGCGTTGTTAGGCCTAGATGACGTTCGCGTTCGTGTTCTACGGCTCGCGTTCGCGGAGCTTCAACTCCTAGAGCCTTCGTGTTCGCGGTCAGAAGGCCGCGTTCGCGTAGAACAATTGTGAAACCCCTCCCCTAGGCCTTTAACCTGGACGCGTTCGCGAAGGGTACTCCCCCCACAGCCTCGCGTTCGCGTTCCAAGCTCCGCGTTCGTGAAGAGAAACTAGCACCTGAGAAAATTGCCTTACGCGTTCGCGAGTGGAATAACGCGAAGAACAAAACCTCTGTGCACTGAGACAGCAAAAACTTGCAATTTTTTCTAAGTTCGAAACCTTCCGAAACTCACCCGAGCCCTCGGGGCTCCAAACCAAACATGCATACTAACTCAAAAATATCATATGAACTTATCCGTGCGATCAACTCGCCAAAATAACCTCTTAAACAACGAATTTAGCATAGAAATCTAAGAAAAATCTCCAAACTTTCAAAGTATCAATTTTCACAACTACGGGTCCGAGTCACCTCAAACGACTTCCATTTCTTACCAAATTTCACAAACTCATTTTAGATCACATATAAGACCTGTACCGGGTTCCAAAACCAAAATACGGGCCCGATACCATCAAGTTTTAAGCACGTTTTATTTCCAAAAACTCATAAATATTCCAGAAAATAATTTTCTTTAAAAATTTATTTCTCGGCTTGGGACCTCGAAATTTGATTTCGGGCATACGCCCAAGTCCCGTATTTTCCTACAGACCCTCCGAGACCGTCAAATAATGGGTCCGGGTCCGTTTACCTAAAATATTGGCCGAAGTCAACTTAAATTCATTTTAAAGTTAAAATTCATCATTTTTCACAGATTTTCACATAATGGCTTTTCGGCTACGCGGCCGGACTGCGCATGCAAATCGAGGTAATGCTGAAAGAGGTTTTTAAAGCCTCGGGATGCAGATTTTTTTTTTAAAACAAGTGATGATCTTTTGGGTCATCACATTCTCCACCTCTAAAACAACCGTTCGTCCTCGAACGGACATAAGAAGGAAGTACCTAAGTCGGCAAAAAGATAGGGATAACGGTGCCGCATATCAAACTCGGACTCCCAGGTCGATGCCTCAGCAAGCTGACCTCTCCACTGAACACGAACAAAAGGAAAGCTCTTCCATCTCAACTGACGAATCTGCCGGTCTAGAATAGCTACCGGCTCCTCATCATAAGACAAGTCCTTGTCCAACTAGACAATGCTGAAATCTAACACGTGGGATGGATCGCCGTGATACTTCAAGCATGGACACATGAAACACTAGATGCACGACTGATAAGCTCGGCGACAACGCAAGTCTGTAAGCCACCTCTCCCACTCGATCAAGAATCTCAAACGGGCCAATGAACCTAGGGCTAAGCTTTCCCTTCTTTCTAAATCTCATCACGCCCTTCATAGGCGACACCTGAAGCAATACTCGCTCACCGACCATGAATGCCAAATCTCGAACCTTACGGCCGGCATAACTCTTTTGCCTGGACTGAGCTGTACGAAGCCTATCCTGAATAATCCTGACCTTATCCAAGGCATCCTAAACCAGATCTGTACCCAACAACCGAGCTTCCCTCAGCTCAAACCATCCCATCGACGACCGACACTGCCTACCATACAAAGCCTCATAAGGAGCCATCTAGATACTGGACTGGTAGCTGTTGTTGTAGGCAAACTCTGCTAAATGCAAAAACAGATCCCACGAGCCTCCAAAGTCAATGACATAAGCTCGGAGCATATCCTCCAAAATCTGAATAGTCCGCTCGGACTGCCCGTCCGTCTGAGGATGAAACGATGTGCTCAACTCAACCCCTGTGCCCAACTCTCGCTGAACTGCTCTGCAAAAATGTGAGGTAAACTGTGTACCTCGAACCGAAATAATAGACACGGGCACACCATGAAGACGAACAATCTCCCGGATATAGATCTCAACTAATCTCTCGAAATAATAAGAGACTGCTACAGGAATGAAATGTGCTGATTTGGTCAGCCTATCAACAATAACCCACACTGCATCGAACTTCCTCTGAGTCCATGAGAGTCCAACAACGAAGTCCATAGTAATACGCTCCCACTTCCACTCAGGAATCTCAATCTTCTGGAACAACCCACCGGTCCTCTGATGCCCGTACTTAACCTGCAGATAGTTCAAACACCGAGCCATATGAGCAACAATGTCCTTCTTCATTCTCCGCCACCAATAATGTTGCCGCAAATCCTGATACATCTTGGCGGTGCCCGGATGAATAGAGTACCGGAAACTATGGGCCTCCTCTAAAATCAACTCTCGGAGTCCATCAACATTAGGCATACAAACTCAAACTTGCAATCTCAGAACTCCATCATCTCCTAAGGTAACCTGCTTGGCACCTCCATGCTGCACTGTGTCTCTAAGGACACACAAATGAGGATCATCATACTGCTGATCTCAGATACGCTCCAATAATGAAGAACGAGCGACTATGCAAGCTAACACGCGGTTGGGCTTAGAAACATCCAACCTCACAAATTGATTGGCCAAAGCCTGAACACCAAAAGCAAGCAGCCTCTCACTGACCGGAATATAAGCAAGACTACCCATACTGGCTAACTTCCTACTAAAAGCATCGGCAACCACATTGGCCTTTCCCAGATAATTAAGATGGTGATATCATAGTCTTTCAACAGCTCCAACCACCTTCTATGCCTCAAATTTAGCTCCTTTTACTTGAACAAGTACTGCAGACTCTTGTGATCCGTGAACACCTTACTTGCCATGCCATATAGATAATGCCTCCAAATCTTCAACGCGTGAACAATGGCTGCCAACTCCAAATCATGGAATGGATAGTTCTTCTCATGAATCTTCAACTTCCGCGAAGTATAGGCAATGACCTTGCCATCCTGCATCAACACCGCACCAAGTCCAATACGAGATGC